GAGACTCCAACTCAAAAAAAAAAAAAAGAAAATGGAAAATGGAACTGATGTCTCCAGCCCTCCCTGCCCCAGCCCTAGCTAGTGGCAGACACCATCAGAGGCCTGGCTCCTGGGGTTGGGGGAGCCACAGCACACATGCATCCAGGAGGCTCCAAAAGCACCACCTGCTGCCAACCTGGAAAAACAAGCCTGTGGGCCACCTGTTCCTTCCAGGGCCACAGAAGGCTCACATGTGAAGCAGTTTGCCTTATTTATTTTATTGTATGTTTTTGAGATAGGGTCTTGCTCTGTTGCCCAGGCTGGAGTGCAGTTGCTGGATCATGGCTCACTGTAAACTTGAACTCCTGGGCTCAAATGATCCTCCTACCTCAGCCTCCTAAGTACCTAGGACTACAGGTGTACACCACCATGCCCAGCTAACTTTTAAATTTTTATTTTGTAGAGATGGGGTCTTATTGTGTTGCCCAGTGTGGTCTTAAACTCTTGGCCTCAAGCAATTCTCGTGCCTTGGCCTCCCAAAGCCATGGAATTACAGATGTGAGCCACTATGCCCAGCCTAAGACAATCTGTCTTGAACAATGACTGATATATCCATCCTGAGTGTTCTTGTCAAACTGAACTACTCACCCCAGGACTCTTACTCACCTCCATGTCTGTCCCCTCACTCCAGCAGCAATGCCATGTCTGCAAGGGCCAGTGCAAGACCATCCCCTTCAAGGCTGTTCCAGCCCCCCAAGCTCAAAATATTCTCCTGTGTAGCCCTTCTGGTTACCTTCATCTCTTTTACTTTAGAATTATTTGGGGGGTGAAACCCTCATCCTTCTCCACCTCTCTGTAGCACTGAAGACCAGTGACAGTACCCTCCTTCCTGAAGCACGTCCTTCCCCTTCCTTCTGAAGCTTTCTTCTCATCTCTCTATGACTCTTTCTCATTCTCCTCTGCTAGCTCTTTGCAGCCTTTAAACACTGACATGCCCCTGACTTCCTTTCTCTTGTCTCTCTCTACTCTTTCCTTAGAATACTTTATCCATCTGTGCTAATGAAAATATCTTTAGCTGGGCTCGGTGGCTCAGCCTGTAATCCTGCGCCTTTGGGAGGCTGAGGTGAGTGGATTGCCTGAGCCCGCAGGTTCGAGACCCGCCTGGGCAGTGAGACCTCGTCTCTACAATAAATCAAAAAATCAGCCGGGCGTGGTGCCTGTAATTCCGGCTACTTGGAAGGCTGAGGTGGAAGGATCACCGGAGCCCAGCAGGTTGAGGCTGCGGTGGCTGAGAGTGGCCACTGCACTCCAGTCTGGGCAACAGAGTGAGACTCCAACTCAAAAAAAAAAAAAAAAAAGAGCCAGGCTCGGTGGCTCAGCCTGTAATCCCGCGCCTTTGGGAGGCTGAGGTGAGTGGATTGCCTGAGTCCGCAGGTTCGAGACCTGCTTAGGGAGCAAGACCTCATCTCTACAATAAATCGAAAAATCAGCCGGGTGTGGTAGCGCATGCCTGTAATTCTGGCTACTTGGAAGGCTGAGGCGGAAGGATTGCCGGAGCCCAGCAGGTCGAGGCCCAGCAGTCTGGGCGACAGAGTGAGACTCCAACTGAAAAAAAAAAGAAAAAGAAAAAAAAGAAAAAAGAAGATATCTTTAGCTGGGTTTGGTGGCTCAGCCTGTAATCCCAGCACTTTGGGAGGCTGAGGTGAGTGAATTGCCTGAGTCTGCAAGTTCGAGACCTGCCTAGGCAACTTGGCAAGACCTCTCTCAATAAATAAAAAATTAGCCAGGCGTGGTAGCGCACGCCTATAGTTCCAGCTACTTGGAAGCCTGAGGTGGAAGGAAGGATCGCCAGGGCCCAGCAGTTCGAGGCTGCAGTGGCTGGGAGCGGCCACTGCGCTCCAGACTGTGTGACAGAGTGAGACTCCAACTTAAAAAAAAGAAAAAGAAAAAGAAAAAGAAGCCGGGCTCGGTGGCTCAGCCTGTAATCCCGCGCCTTTGGGAAGCTGAGGTGAGTGGATTGCCTGAGCCCGCGGGTTCGAGACCCGCCTGGGCAGCGAGACCTCATCTCTACAATAAATCAAAAAATCAGCCGGGCGTGGTAGCGCGCGCCTGTAATTCCGGCTACTCGGAAGGCTGAAGCGGAAGGATTGCCGGAGCCCAGCAGGTCGAGGCTGCGGTGGCCGGGAGCAGCCACTGTACTCCAGTCTGGGCGACAGAGTGAGACTCCAACTCAAAAAAAAAAAAAAGGAAGAAAATATCTTTAGCCTCACCTCTGACTCCTCTGCTCAGCTACACTGGTTGAACAAGCTACTGCAAGGTTGTTGCATTGCTGTTACCTCTGCCTGGGATGCTCATTTCCCCACTATTCTCATTGCTTCTTCCAAATCTTTATTCAAATTTTCACACATTCTACATTAGTTATTTAGCTAGTGCCTGTCTCCTTCCACTAGAATATAAGCTCAACAGGCTTTAGGATTTTTATTTTTACATTTGTATTTATTTATGTATTTTTTTGAATTGGAGTCTCACTCTGTGTCGCCCAGGCTGGAGAACAGTGGCACACTCACAGTCACCGCAGCCTCGACCTGCTGGGCTCAGGAAATTCTTCTGCCTCAGCCTCCTGAGTAGCTGGGTCTACAGGCAGGCGCCACCACGCCTGGCTAATTTTTTAATTTATTGTAGGGACAAGGTATCATCAGTTGCCCAGGCTGATCTCGAACTCCTGGACTCAGGCAATCCTTTCACCTCCGCCTCCCAAAGTTCTGGGATTACATGTGTAAGCCTCCAAGCCCTGCAGGTTTTAGGACTTTGAGAGTAGCAGACAGCTATTCTATCCCACAGCCTAACACAGTGCACACAGTAAGTTCTCAATAAACGTTTGTGAATAAATGAATGAATGCTCCCTTTGATTTCTGTTGGTGAAAGCTCAAAAGATTTGGGTGGGTCCTAGCTCTCCTGCTCCAGGGCAAATACAGTGTTTGCACACACCGGACTAAATGCATTCTCAGTCGGGCTCGGTGGCTTAGCCTGTCATCCCAGCACCTGGGAGCCGAGGCGAGTGGATTGCCAAACCGGCAACCTGGGGAGATCTCGTCTCTCCGATAAATCAAAAATTAGCCGGCCATGGTAGCGCGCCTGTAGTTCCAGCTACTCAGAAGGCTGAGGCGGAAGGATCGTCTGAGCCCAGCAGCTCGACGCTGGGGTGGCGGTGAGCGCGCCACTGCACTTCAGCCTGGGCGACGGGAACGCCAACTCAAAATGATAATAATAATAATAATAATAATAATAATAATAAATGCATTCTCGAGGAACGAACGAGAAGCCGTTTTCTCGGGCGTCCTAGGTAGAGGCAACGGACTGTGCAAACGTCCCAAAAGGCTCCAAAAGGTAGCAAACAATCTGGCAGCCTCTGGCCTTTACTATCCACTTAGGAGGGCCAGAATGCCCAAGAATTTAGGCCTCAGGGCCAGGAAACAAACGCGGAAAAGCTGATGGCCCTGAAAAAAGCACATCCAGCGGACCTTCCCCGTCCCTGCACAACTCGAGCCACCCTGGACACCAGAACCTCCTCTCGCCCGGAGTTGTTGGGACAGCCAGTCCACCCTCCCGCTGCGACCGTCACGTTCCCCCCGCCTCCGACGTAACTCCACGCCCGGCCAATGGGGCCCCGGATTCCTGACGTCACCCGGCAGCAGGACTGAAACGCCCTCTCCGTCCTGCCATTCCTGGCTCACCGGAAGCCTCCAGGCGGTTTCCAAGCCCCGGGATTCAGGGTAGACCTTGTCCAGGCTGTAGATGCTCTTGAACTCGGTGTCGTCTACTTGCTTGTGCAGAGCCCGGCGAGGGCACCGCGCAGGTGGCGGGAGCAGCCGAGCTCCGGCTCGGCTCAGCCCCCAGCGCAGGCACCAGGTGGCCGCCATGTTCGGGTCTCGGGGCAGCTTCCGGCGGGCGAGCTCGCTCTCTGCCGCCCGCAAGCTCCCGCTGCCCCCGGGACTTTGGTTCCGCGCGGCTTCTAGGGTCCGCCCAGGGGGGACGGGGAACTGGACTCCAGGCAATGCTTCCCAGCCGGTCGCCTCCTGGAGCCCTGGCTGGCGTGGGTAAGATGTTGGCAAGACAGCGAATTCCCAAGGGAACCTCCCAGTGAGACGAGCGCTGGATCTCGTGGTCCCCCAGAAAAACCACTTTTCTCCCTTCCAGAGACCGTTCTTTCCGTCTGGACCGTTTACCGCCGAAGTCACACATATCCACGAGGTTTGCCTGGCTGGCCAGGTTCATGTTTCACCCGCACTCTCCGCCCCCTTTACCCTGCTCTCCTGTACCTATTTTCGTTTTTTCTTTTAAAAAAAATCACTCGGCCGGGCGCGGTGGCTCACGCCTAATCCCAGCTCTTTGAGAGGCCGAGGTGACAGGATTGCCTGAGCCCGCGGTTCGAGACCAACCTGGGCAATTTGGTGAGATCTCATCTTTACAATAAATCAAAAATTAGCCGGGCGTGGTGGTGCATGCCTGTGGTTCCAGCTACTGGGAAGGCCGAGGCGGAAGGATCGCCTGAGCCCAGCAGGTTGAGGCTGCGGTGGCCGTGAGCGTGCCACTGCACTCCAGCCTGGGCGACAAGGTGAGACTTCGACTCAAAAATAAATAAAATAAAAATAAAAAATAAAAATCAATCTTGATTGTCTAATTTAATTGCTGATTCCTAACCAGAATGTTAGCTCCGGGGCACTGGCTCACTGCTGCATCTCGGACAGCCAGAACATGGCACATCGTGGGCACTCTGTGAATATTGATAACAATGAATTCTGGGGACTGTGTTTCTCAAAGTTTCGTTCTGGTGGAGCTGAGATTTAGAAATTTCAGGTTCTTTTTTGCAAGGCAGCCTATAAGCAAACCCTGCTAAGCATATGTGTGTGATGGCTTCTATCCAGCAGCTCTGCGGGACAAATATCAGATGGGAGGAGAGGAGGCAGGTCACAGAAAGAAAGGTTTCCAACACATGGAGGCTCCCCACCCTCTCCGGCTTTGTGGAGCATGATGGTGGTTTCTTCCAGCCACAAGATGAGGGGAGAGGTAGGGAAAGCCACAGGCTAAGCAGAGCCCTTTCATAGGGCTGTTAAGGTGTGAACTCCAAGTGAGAAGTTCTAATTCTGAGAAAGGTTCAAAGTAGAGTAAGCAATGTCTGAAAATAGCTAAACCTTAGTTAAGTTTCTTTGTTGAGAAGCAGTGTGGTAAATGAAAAGAGCTCAATAAATGTTAGTCATTATTAGTAATGCTAGTTTCTTAATGAAGAGTTCTATTTTTTTTTTTTTTTTGAGTTGGAGTCTCACTCTGTCACCCAGCCTGGAG